AGTGTTCAGAAAATTTTGCTTGAAACTTGTTAAAAACAGTTTAGAAAACTGCTCACAGCCTTTAAACTAAATTTTCAACATTTATTTTCCATATTCTGAATTAATTTTCCTGAATTCAAAATTTTGCAGCTACTACAGCTGGAGACAGCATGGCCATGCTTGAAGCACGTGCTCAAAAAATTGCAGAAGAAGAAACTGGTATTGCGAAATCAGTTATGGGTGGCACTGGTATAAGATTTGTGCGTGGAGCTGGTAATGTTGTGGAATCAAATGTTACTGAAAATCCAGAGGAAATTGATATTGGAGATGATGACGATGATGAGCTAGACGCTCAAGACGGTTGGTTTCAGTTGAAATTAATTTTATTTCTTTTTCTTTGTAAATTAAAAAATAAGACTTGAAATCTGTTTAACATTTTAAAATTTACTTTGCTAAGTTTTTGGTCAGTCTTCTTTCATATTGAGTTTCAAAAAATCTACAAATAATAGTAGTATTAAATTCGAATTCGCTCAGTCGACATAAAGTCCAGAAAGTCCCTTAACTTTCAGATGTGGAAACAAGAGCCGTACCTGCAGGAGTTCTAGGTTCACTTGCCAAAGAATATGATAGATAACTCATCTAAGTTTTTTGCTGATTTAAAATTTGATCGTATGTTAATTGTTTATATAGTAAGAAAACTGCTAATTAGTTTCCTGTCAAAAAATTCGAAAACTGCTAATAATTTTTTAGAAAGAAATTTTTTTTTCATTATTGAAAGTATTTGTTGTTTATTAGCTTTCGTAGCAACGTTAACGGTTTCAGTTATTGCTGCATTAAAAAAATATCGAAATTCGAATTTTAGATGCTCTTCATTGCAAACATTTGAGTAAAAACAAATTTAAATTTCCCTCCTAAATTTTTTGTTATTCAAAGAGCTTTCATATTGTATAGTATTGAAGCTAGAAACCCATTTCTAAGATTGCATTTGCCTTAATAGCGTAATTTGTTTTAGATCCGAAACATTTCACTTTAATTACTGTTAGAACTTTTTGTGACATAATAGAAATATCTGAAATCAGTGAACTTGCGTTGCATAAGTGATATTGAAATGATGACCTCCTATCAGACGGTGTTTGAACAAAGCGTCATGAATTTTGTAAATATTCTGTGTTACTTGGTTCCTTATTATTGGCAGTTTTATTTTCTTACTACCCATTGATTTGTAGAAGTAGTAAGACTGGATTTTACCTTTTCTCTCGAGCACTTTATTTTGAGTTGTGATTTTGTTGGTTCTATTCCTTGAACTAAATTTTAGATAAAAAAATATGTTCATAAGAAATAGGCATGAGTCAGATTCACACCAGTGATCATAATGCATCCAATTTCGACATAATTGTTTTTCTGTTTGATGCTTTGATATAACAGATAATGATTTATACTTTTGCGAACTTGTAGTGGTCAGAAAGTAATGGATTCGGAATTCATTAAATTAAAGTCAAGCGCTTGTACCAATATGTGTCAGTCTCGAATGTGAATACTCATGTATTTTTAGGAAAATTTGGCACACATAAACCAATTGGTCCGAGTTCATTATACCCAAACTTGACTGATTCATTAGGCATGCATTACACGAGCAGGATTATATTTCTATGATACTTTTTAAATTAATGTAAAGTTTTGATAATATAAGCTATGTGTTAGCTGGTTCTACCAAATATAAACTCTTGGACGTAGCAGGACAATGAATTGACCATATCACTCATTCGATGACAACCTAATGTCTTTTGAACATAAACCGCAAATATTACTTATTTTCGTAGACACAAATATCTTTCTGAGTTCAATCATTTAAGATAGCATCTGAAAGTAAATTTATGAAGAACATTACGAGTAATGCAAAAACTAAACTTCTTATGAGATCATTAGATGAAAAATTTCCAAATATTGCGTGAGGAAGACATCCGCACTCTCCTGTATTTACTTTTGTTTTCTCAAATTTCAGCTTCAAGTGTAAACTTTCACCCAAATACTATATTTGTTAAGGTTTCTCACCACTACTTATGAGTTCGTCTACTATACTGGAGCAATGTATGTAATGAAATTCTACGAGCAAATATTACGTCCAAAAAGTCTTTAACGTTGTATGTATGCGAGGGCAGTTATGATCTTAGGAGTATTTGTGGAACTGCTCAAGCAAGTTTCTTAAAAGCAAATGCTTAATGAGGAAAGAATTTTTTCTCTCATGTATTCGGTTCTGTTTATGTGAATCCTCTGTTCACGTAAACAACACTTGCTGCAGTTCTCATACTTGAATTCTTTTCCATAAATAAGTGGGCATGTATTTATCTATGCGTATTTTCAAATTTGCAATCTCTGAAAAGTGCTTCTTGCAATTATGGCACTGAAATTTATATATGCATACATTTCTTGATTCTGCCTCGATGTGATCAGAGATATACTGACGTTTGTGGAAGTTTGTTACTACCTCATCCCAAGTCATCACATACGGAATTATTTTTATTCTGTATTTCATCTCTGATCTGAATTCATTAAGCTTAGGCCAAATTTATTACATCAAGAAGTTGTAAACAGGTAAAATAATGTTTATCTTGGCACCACTATTCGTTATTATTTAATAAATTATAAAACTAAAGTTGCATTATCAATATGCATTTTTAGTGGATCACAAAATTAGCATATCACTGAAAAGTTTATGAATGTTGCAACAGTATTTCGGTATCACTTTTTTACTTTATTGGGTTATTAGTTGGCTGGTTTGATTTACTCTTTTTTTTTACGAAAAATAGAAAGTATAATGGTTGTAGAAGCTAAGTTTGAATTAATTCCATTCCTTACGAAGCATCAGAAGTTTATGGCAAAGGTACGTGTCATTTTATTGAAACGTTAATTTCTATTTTTAAATTTAAATAAGAATTGAAGAAATATCAAAATCAATTTTTATTATGAAGTAATTGTTAGTTCAGAACGTTTGATCGAAATAAATTTACTTGTTGAGGTCGATTATCATCCTGATGAAATTGGTGAAATGATCGAAACAGCCCGAGTACTGTTCTCAACAGAAGGACCACTAATTGAAGTTACTATACCTGTGGTTGTAGTCGGTGACATACATGGGCAGGTGAAATATGATTGTACAAAACTGGTTCTACTTTTTTCGAATAATAAGTTAACTTATGCATTTATAATTTATCTAAGCTTAAAAATTTAACAGAATTAAATTAATTAGTTTATTTATTTTTGCTTTTAATTATATTTTATGCCAATACAGTTCGCTGATCTACAACGAATTTTTGCGGCGGTTGGCCGACCAGGTCGAACACGTTTTTTATTTCTTGGTGATTATGTCGATCGTGGACCACAATCACTGGAGTGCATCTGTTCGCTTGTTGCTTGGAAAATAGCTTATCCAAAAAGAGTATAATTTTTTTACAGTACATAAACATTTTGTATTTTTAAATATACTTTTGTATGAATATTTTGCTGTATAAGAAACAAAGCTTAAAAATTTTGATAAAAAAGCATTAAGTAAATTATTGGTAAACGGAAGTGTGCTAAAAATAACATCATAAAAAAATAAATTTCTTCTTTGCATATAAGTTAGTTCATTTTTGGATTGGTGCAAATTTGAGAATTTTAAATTTCACCGTTTATGGAAAACCTATTAAAGTATACATCATAATAACATTAATACTGAGTAATAACACGAAGATGGAAATAAAAGTCATAGAAATTTCCAAAATCATCTCAATATTGAATTGGTTCAAAACAAGTTAAGTTAGAACAAGCTAAGTTAGTTAGTTAATTAGTTAAGTCAAGTTAATTTAGTTAGCTAGTTCATTTCATGCGCTAATTTAGGTTTTTTTACTCCGCGGTAATCATGAATTTGCCTCCATAAATCGAGAATACGGTTTTTACGATGAATTAGCTACACGATTTAGCGTTGGTTAGTAAATATGCATGATTTAAACATTCAGTAATTAGTGTAAAAATAAAAATATATCGCTTAATTTATATGAAATAGCATTTTTGCATTTTGAAAGCTACTGCTACTTTTAAAAATGTGCTAAAATTGAAGTTCAGTAATGATTAATATGAATATCTCGGCTTTCAGTTTTCCATTCAAATATTTAAATATTTAACACAAAGCAAATATTTGTGATTATCTTTATATATTTTTGCTTACAGTGTACGTTTGCTTAAATTTTTTACTCATGCATTTTTATCTGTGAATTGTAAAATAAAGCCTCTGACCTTAAAGGTCAAGCAATGCGTTTGTGGAAAGACTTCAATGATCTTTTTTCAATTTTACCATTTGCTGCTTTGATAAAACATAAAATACTTTGCATGCACGGTGGCCTTAGTCCTCATCTCGTTTCCCTCGACAGTATTCGCAATGTAAGCTTTTAACTTTCATCAAATTTTAAAACAAACAGTCTATATTTTATATTGGCAAGTAAAATAATTTTAGAAAGTAATAGGAAATTAAAAATTTTTTTTTAATCAAAAAATTTCGGATAAAATTTTAACTTTCAGATTAAAATGCCTGTGATGGAAGTTTTTCCCGATACCTTGGAGCAGGATTTAGTTTGGTCTGATCCAAAATTAGACATTAAAGGATATGAACCTAATAAGTTACGCAATGTAAGCGTAGCATTTGGTGAAGATACCGTATACAAAGCATGCAAACGTATGAATTTAGATCTGATCATACGTGCTCATCAGGTACTCTGCTATTTGGCTTTAATTTTTTATAATCATAGTATTAAAAATTTAATATGTCAAACTATTGTTGTGAAAAATCTACGTTGTTTTTTATAATAGACAAAATGAATTATAAATTTATTTAATTGTTGTATATGTAACATTACTTAAACATAAGTTTATTCTTGAACGAATGAATTCCCGCCTTTGTTTTCACTCTTTTATTTAGGTGATGGAAAACGGATATGGTTTTTTTGCTGGTCGTAAACTAGTAACAATCTTTTCGGCCCCACTTTATGCAGAACTCGTAAATATTTCCTTTTTTACTTACCTTAGAGACGTGAAAGATAAAAGCTTCCAGTTTTCAAATACAAAATGTTGAAATTTATTTAGTATTTAAATTGAAATTTAATTAATATTTGAATTGGAATTTAATTAATATTTGAAATATATTTGATAAAATATAATATGCAGTTAAAGATCACTATAGAACAATGAGATATATATTCAAAATCAACTATTCATAAACTAACTTAATTAATTTTGCATAAAACGGCGGCAAATTTATTGCACATAACAAATATATTCTTTTTTTATTAAGCTGAAAAAAGACATAATTTGAGAATGTTCTATGTAGTGTGAATTATTAAAATATATAATTTAGCGATTTCATATCTTAATTTAGAAAACAATAATTGACATGCTAGAAGATATTAAGTATATAATTTATATATACTCAAATGTTTTCAAATTCAACATTTTCATACAGTATTGTTTGTGAATTACAAAATAAAGTCTACAATAAAAGATGTGCCAAATTTTTGTAATTATTTGTCAAGCTTAGAAATGAAATAAAATGAAACAGCGTAGAATCAAATCAGTGTAAGCAAGAAAAGTTTTGAATAGATCTCAAAAGCATTCTTTGAAATAGCTAAAGTGAAAACAAATGGATTCTCATTTGTAACAGAAACCTTTTGACATAAAAGTTATAACTGTGTAACAGATTAGCTAATTTCAAGCTCAGTAGCTAAAGCAAACTTATGTGAATGAAATATTTTTTAATAATATCAGCAAAACAAAATAACTTGTGATAGTAATTTAAAGGTATCAGTCATATTTATTTTCAGAATAACAAAGGAGCAGTATTGCGAATCAGTGCTGATATGGTAATCAGTTATGCAATACTGAATCCTGTATCTCATACAACGGCCGGGAAAGAATATTTCATGCATAACTTCAAGGATGATCAACGATCGTATCGTATGGATGATTTAAATGGTGCAACAACACTACCACAACTCCAGTAAAATAACCGAAAAAGCGTAAAATAAACTTGATAATTACACATAGCATGAAATGACAAAAGTTAGATTGATTTTAGTTTTCATGAAGAATCTAAATAATTGATTGTAAAATATTAAAATTTTATTTCATTCAGATTCTTTAGCTATTAAAAACTGATATGAAAAAGTATTTGTAGGCAATGCAAATATGTTTAGCGCTTAAGTAATGACAGAACTTGCTCAGATTATGCAGAAATATTGCATCAGAAAGTATGCGATTCAGTAATATTTCATATAAAAATCAATATTAATAATTATTAAAACAATTATTAATATTGATTTTTATATGAAATATTTGATTGAACTACGAATTTCATATTAGCATAAAAGAAGCTAGTATTGAAAATATACTAGAACAGATAATTCAGTGAAGCAAGCCTTGATGTAACTGAGCTAATAAAATAATAACTCGCGCATGTTGAATTCACATTTTTGATTACTTTTCAGAATATCACTCTCCTCATTCTTGGTTTTATTTTGTTTTAATTATGACTATTATTAGTAATTTTGATAATTTGATCGTTTTTTCCACTTTTACTACAATAATGAAGACATTTGCATTAATAAAATGTGTAGTAAATTACAGAAAGCCATGCTAATAAGACATTCTTCTGATTTGGACTACTTTTTTCTGATGTCTTATTCGTTATAAAAATGTTGTAATCCAGGAATATATTAATGATGATATTTTGATGCTTGAAAATGTAATAGCTATACGTAAAATTAAGAAACAGAAAATTTAAATTGATAGATAATACTAAATCTATTTTTCAGTGTCAAAACTATACATTACATATCCGCCTGACCACTGACTATTCATTTATTCTAGCCTTAAAAAACAATAAATATAATATTACACTTATTATTAACGTGATATTACACTTATTATTAACGTGATATTACACTTATTATTAAATTGATAGCTAATGCTAAATCTATTTGCTGTTTTGATTTTGTATGCTGTTTTATACTGTGATAATTTATCATTATAAGAGTGATGCATTTTAATCACGTTGATAATCACTGTTAATTTCAAAATAAATAATAAAGCTAATTTTAATGCACAATGTCAAATATTTTCGAATAATTATAAATAGCAATCATGATTATTTTTACGTAAATTTTGAAAAAAATCGCGAGGAAACTTTTCTGTTAAAAGTGGAAATTAGACAATATTTTCAATTTGCAATATTTGCTTGATTTTTTCGTACGACAAACCATTTTTTTCTTTTTTTTTCTTAAATGTCATCTTTTTTATGATTGAGTAATTTTCAGCTCAATAAAGATTTATTAAGTAACATATTAAGCTATTAATAAAATACAGTTCTATTATTTCTTATGAATTTTGTCAATTTGAGTAATTTGAAAATTTGAAAGCTATCTTAACTCAGATTAAAAAAATTACAAAAATGAAACAGGTCAAGTAAGCATTCAATACTAAACTTTTTGTAATTTGTCAAAATATTTTTCAGCCTTTTAAATTCTAGTTTATAAGCTGCAAAATATAACCATCGTCTTAGGACTATTTCTTGGATGCGATGTATTTATATATTTGTGTAAATGGACATAATACTTTAATATGTTAATTTTATTTCTGTTTTATTAATTTATTTTCTAGTCTTTCCATTCTCCAAACACTACTTACATTTTGTATTCTTAGGAGAAGAGCAATACTGATTCGTTGGCTTCTAGTATAAGTTTTAAAATTAAATCTGTTTGGTTAGAAATTGTCAATGTTATTTGCTACAATGACAGTTGCTTCTGCACATTGAATCTAACTTCTTTCACTGTTGTTAAAATAAAAAAATCCAAGTAAAAATGGTTTCTATTTCTACTTCTAGTGCCATATCGATTGATGTGTTTATTAACTACTTTATCGTGAAAATATTCAGCATAGTTTTCATCAAGTTATTGTAACTATTCCAGGAACAAATTATTATTTAACTGCAGACTAATGACTCCTTCAAAACTTTGTAATGTTTGCGCGAGAGCTATCAAACAAGCATCTCGTTCCAAATCCAGGTATTTTTCAAAAAATTTCAATGTTTTAACTTTAAAATATATGGAAGATGGAAGAGAATAATCCCATTTGATTCTTGAATTAGAGTTCTTGAAAGTGCATATTTGTTATCCATACTAATCACTATAAGTTATCGTCATCAATTATTGGGTAAAGGTTTAGTGGTTGATTGTGTTTGAAATCAGCGTAGGGTAAAGTTATCGTTTTTCAATATATTAAGAGTTAGTAATGAATAGTTTGAGTTGTAGTAAGTGTCGTTTTACTGGTTCATTTTTATTTGTTCGTAGGAAAAAGCGCTTCATTTAAAGATTGTCGTTTGATTATGGCGTTTACAAGAATTTGTGTTTAGACTATTACCTACTGATATTAGTTCAATCATTAAAAATTTGTTTACTAGTATCATTTTGTTTTTCAGGAACTTTTCTTCGAAAGGAAAAAATTTTTCATCAATTTCTCCAAAACTCGGCAGTTCCATCGTATGCTATTCAATTTATATGAGTAGATAATAATTTTACGGTGACTTTTGATCATCGTTATAATATTGTATTATGAAAAGACAAGTTCTTAATTCATCTAGTTTTGTTATGTGTTGGTTTTGTAAAAAAAGTTTGAATTAGTTTCAGAATTCTATTGATATCAATAGCATGTCTCTGAAGAAAGCAATACCTGGACTTTCGGAAGCCAAATATCTGAAGCAAGCCGACGTCAAACCTTTCAATACGGAATTAACAGTTCTCGAAAATGGACTGAGAGTAGCTACAGAGCCTCATTATGGGATGTATTGCACCGTTGGAGGTATGTTTAATATTCTTACTAATACATTATATGTATAGTGTGACCCATAACATCATCAGCTTTCAT